CTACTTCCTTCTCTGCATTATTCTTCTCCTTAGGATTTATCACCATCTAATTAGTAATTCATTTTGCCAAAGATGTTTATTTTGTTTATTGTCAGTTCTTTCCACTAGAATGTAAGTTCAACAAGGACAGAGGGCAGAAATGTCCATCTGTTTCATTCTCTGCCATTACCCCAATGCCTAGAATAGTGCCTGAGACATAGTAGGTGCACAGTAAATAGTTGACTTACCTGTGTTCATCACACTATCAACAATATTTTGAAAGGCATCACTAAGTTCAAAGGGTAGTGATAGTAACAGTAATGAGGAGATGATGACTCCTTCCTGCCTAGAGGGTGAGAAAATCCATGGGATTTGATTTCAACTGACATCACAGTGTCTTGGTCCATTTGGGCTGCTATAACAAAATACTATCATAGACTGGGTAGCTTATAACAACAGAAATTTTTTTCTCACAGTTGTGGAGGCTAAAGTCCAAGAACAAGGTGCTGGCAATTTTGGTGTCTAGTTAGGGAAAGCTTCTGGCTCAGAGAAGGCCATTCTTTTTGCTGTGTCCCACTCCTAATACTATCATCTTGGGGGTTAGAATTTCAACATATGAATTTGGGGGGAACAGATATTTAAACCATAGCACTCAGCCTTCAGAGGGTGTTCTGATACACTTCCTAAGACCTATGAACATAAAGCAAGCTTATGCTGGAAGCTTTCACTTTCTTCACAAAGAAAATCTGACCTGAAAGTTTCTTCCTCCTTTGTGAGAGAAGTCATACCTCTCTGCTTATAAGAACCAGCCTAAGGGCCGCAAAACAAATTCCATGGGGCACTGTAAATGCCATCTGGGTAGAGAGAAGGCATCTGCCTTGGTGTCTTCACCAAAAGCCATGAAGTTGAGTTGAACTGGAGTTGAAAATACAATCTAAGAATGGCAGCTCTTGGACCATAGGAGCAGAAAATTCCTCAGCAGCAGAAAATTTCCACCTTGTACCTGTTCTTTGGGATCTCTTATTGCCTAGGTTGTTAATTTTTAGCTGTAAGTCTGGTGTGGGGGAATGTGTGGGTTTGGGTGGTAGAAGGTCTGCACAGAGCTGGTTCACCCTGGATTACCTAGGCTTATATTGCCAGAGAAGTAAGTGGTTATAATAAATTGTTACTGGATTTACATATGCACATGAAATGTGACTGCGGGCATGATTGGTCTGGTGCTGAACCTTTGCTTTCTATCCAGTCCTGAGAAAGTAATTTAATCCTGAGAACAATGAAAACCTTCATTTCCCAAATTAGATAATCTATTCCTTAAAACACACACACACACACACACAGAGCAAAACAAAACAGATGCCATCATTTCCAAGCCTCTAGAAGCTGAATTCTATTTCCCTAGTAGCCATTTGCCACTTTGAACCTGGGAGGAAATATATCCTTCTCCGGCCAGGTTTCTGGGCTGGTTGCTCAGGGCCCTGGGGCACCCATCGTCAGGAGGAGAAACCACTGCAAGAAATCTACACATTTTTTCAAAGAAATGGAACAAATAATCCTAAAATTTGTATGGAACCAGAAAAGACCCCAAATAGCCAGAGGAATGTTGAAAAAGAAAAGCGAAGCTGGTGGCATCACAATTCCAGACTTCAAGCTCTATTATAAAGCTGTCATCATCAAGACAGTATGGTACTGGCACAAAAACAGACACATAGATCAATGGCACTGGCACCTGATTCTTGGGGTGATAAGAATAAGGACGGATAGTTTGAGTACACATCATTGGCTGGATGCTGTTCTCTGTGCTTTAAGTATTCTCTCATCTGTTCTTCACAATCATTCCAGGTAGGGGTTAGATAATGTGCTTTTACAGTGAGGAAACTGAGGATAGTAACTTCCCAAGGTCACATGGTCAAGAAACTAGAATTTTCATCTAGGTCGTCAGACTCCAGAACTTGTGTTCTAAACCTTGATATTAGGCTGCCTTTCATCCTTATTTTCACATAGGCCACATTCCTAACATTTCTTTTTAGAGGAACATTCCTTTATTAAAGGGGGATCTTGACCAAAACATAAAAATAATGAAGATAGAAGTGGAGGTGTTCTGACTGAAGTAAGAACGGGAGTGGGTGGGGTGTGTACCTTGACCCCTCCCTCCATGATCATAACTCTGCCCTCCCTGGGGCTCCGAGAGACACATTGGTTTTCTGAATCCACCCTTCATCAGCTTCAGCTTCTCTTTCCTCTAGTAGATCCTTATTATTAGTCAATCCTCATTATTCATGGATGCCGTATTTGCAAATTTGCCTAACTGCTACGATATTTTTTGTAAACTCAGAATCACCACCTATGGGCTGTCATGGTATTCATGGACACGCACAGAGCACTGAAGAGTTTGTCACCCAGCACGTGCATTCCCAGCTGAGGTGGAAGATGCTGATGGGCTGCCTTCTTGTTTCAGGAACTGTAAACAAGCTTTTTTGGGGGGAGTGTAGGTCTACTTAGTGCCATGTTTTTCAAATTTTTGTGCCCTTTTTTTTAAAAAAAGATTTATTTATTTGACAGAGAGAGAGAGCCCAAGCAGGGGGAGTGGCAGGCAGAGGGAGAGGGAGAAGCAGACTCCCTTGAGCAGGGAGCCCGACACGGGGCTCGATCTCAGGACGCTGAGATCATGACCTGAGCTGAAGGCAGATGCTTAACCAACTGAGTGACCCAGGTGCCCCTAAAACTTTTGTGCTTTTTGTTGGTGATTTTGCTGTTTAGAATGTCTCTCAAACATAGTGCTGAAATGCTAATGTTCCCGAGTGCAAGAAGCCTCGGGATGTGATGTGCCTCACAGACAAAACACATTAGTTAAGCTTCGTTCAGGCATGAGTTACAGCTCTCTAGGCTACGAGGCCAACTATATTAAATACATATAAAAAAACATACATGTTAAATAAGGTATCTTCTAACAGAAGCACACGTAAAACAAGGTTATGCATTGATTGATTGACTAAAATGTGGTGACCAGACCAACTCTGTATTTCCCCTAGGAGTCCCCAGCAATCTCATAAAGCATCATATCATCTGCAAAGAGTGAGAGTTTGACTTCTTCTTTGCCGATTCGGATGCCTTTTATTTCTTTTTGTTGTCTGATTGCTGTGGCTAGGACTTCTAGTTCTAAGACTGCTAAGACCACCCCAAAACTGCTAGAACTCATACAGGAATTCAGTAAAGTGGCAGGATATAAAATCAATGCACAGAAATCAGTGGCATTTATATACACCAACAACAAGACAGAAGAAGGAGAAATTAAGGAGTCTATCCCAATTACAGTTGCACCCCAAACCATAAGATACCTAGGAATAAATCTAACCAAAGAGGCAAAAAATCTGTACTCAGAAAACTATAAAATACTCATGAAAGAAATTGAGGAAGACACAAAAAAATAGAAAAACGTTCCATGCTCATGGATTGGAAGAACAAATATTGTGAAGATGTCAATGCTACCTAGAGCAATCTACACATTTTTTCAAAGAAATGGAACAAATAATCCTAAAATTTGTATGGAACCAGAAAAGACCCCAAATAGCCAGAGGAATGTTGAAAAAGAAAAGCAAAGCTGGTGGCATCTCAATTCCAGACTTCAAGCTCTATTATAAAGCTGTCATCATCAAGACAGCATGGTACTGGCACAAAAACAGACACATAGATCAATGGAACAGAATAGAGAGCTCAGAAATGGACCCTCAACTCTATGGTCAATTCATCTTCGACAAAGCAGGAAAGAATGTCCAATGGAAAAAAGACCTCTTCGACCTCAGCTGCAGCAGCTTCTTCCTAGAAACATCGCCAAAGGCAAGGGAAGCAAGGGCAAAAATGAACTGTTGGGACTTCATCAAGATAAAAAGCTTTTGCACAGCAAAGGAAACAGTCAACAAAACCAAAAGACAACCGACAGAATGGGAGAAGATATTTGCAAATGACATATCAGATAAAGGGCTAGTATCCAAAACCTATGAAGAACTTATCAAACTCAACACCCAAAGAACAAATAATCCAATCAAGAAATGGGCAGAAGACATGAACAGACATTTTTCCAAAGAAGACATCCAAGTGGCCAACAGACAGATGAAAAAGGGCTCAACATCGCTCGGCATCAGGGAAATCCAAATCCAAACCTCAATGAGTTACCACCTCACACCTGTCAGAATGGCTAAAATTAACAAGTCAGGAAATGACAGACGTTGGCGAGGATGCGGAGAAAGGGGAACCCTCCTACACTGTTGATGGGAATGCAAGCTGTTGTAGCCACTCTGGAAAACAGTATGGAGGTTCCTCAAAAAGTTGAAAAATAGAGCTACTGTATGACCCAGCAATTGCACTACTGGGTATTTACCCCAAAGATACAAGTGTAGGGATCCGAAGGGGTACGTGCACCCAATGTTTATAGCAGCAATGTCCACAATAGCCAAACTATGGAAAGAGCCAAGATGTCCATCGACAGATGAATGGATAAAGAAGATGTAGTATATATACACAATGGAATATTATGCAGCCATCAAAAGGAATGAAATCTTGCCATTGGCAACGACGTGGATGGAACTGGAGGGTATTATGCTAAGCGAAGTAAGTCAGTCAGAGAAAGACATGTATCATATGATCTCACTGATATGAGGAATTGTTAATCGCAGGAAACAAACTGAGGGTTGGTGGAGTGGTAGGGGGTGGGAGGGATGGGGTGGCTGGGTGATAGACATTGGAGAGGGTAGTGCTATGGTGAGTGCTGTGATTTGTGTAAGACTGTTGAATCACAGACCTGTACCTCTGAAACAAATAATATATTATATGTTAAAAAAAAATGATAGTAGGAAGAGAAAAATGAAGGGGGGGAAATCAGAGGGGGAGATGAACCATGAGAGACTATGGACTCTGAGAAACAAACTGAGGGTTCTAGAGGGGAGGGGGCTAGGGGGATGGGTTAGCCTGGTGATGGGTATTAAAGAGGGCATGTATTGAATGGAGCACTGGATGTTATACGCAAACAATGAATCATGGAACACTACATCAAAAACTAATGATGTAATGTATGGTGATTAACATAACATAATAAAATAAAATAAAAAAAAATGGAGTCCCCAGCAATCTCTAACTCCGTGTTTGTGGCAACTTTATGTAATGCAACTACCACGAATAATGAGAAATGACTGTAGCTATTTATTGAGAGCCTCCTATAGGCCAAATAATGTGCTAGAACCTCATTTAAAGTAACTCTAGTTCTCAACAATTCCAAAAACAAAGTGTCATCTCTAATTTATAGATGGTAAAACTCATGCCTAATTAATTTGGCAATGTCATTAAGCTAGAGGGAGGTAAGCCAAGGCTGGATAGCATATGGCTCTGCTTTTCTCTTTCCTTTTTGCTCAGTTCATTTGTGAACAAATCCCAGGATGCCATCTTGTGCAATTCAGCCATATCCATGTCCCTGACTCCCACTGGATTTCTTTTCCATTGAATTGAACACAATACTCCACCAAAGCTTCTCTCTGCTCTACAGTCACACAAATAGAAACCTCCCTATTGATTCTGGGATAATTTTTTTTTTTTTTTGACAGAGACGCAGCAAGAGAGGGAACACAAGCAGGGGGAGTGGGAGAGGGAGAAGGAGGCCTCCTGCAGAGCAAGGAGCCCGATGCAGGGCTCGATCCCAGGACCCTAGGATCATGACCTGAACTGAAGGCAGATGCTTAATGACTGAGCCACCCAGGCGCCCCTGGGATAATTTTTTTTTTTGAGCCAAAGTGTTTTATTAAAAATGTTCCTGAGTGAGTTTCCCACCATGTTTCCTTGCCAGCCATCTTGTGAGTTTCCAGGTGGCTGGCTTGTGAGAATGGATGTTACTGTGTCTCCCTGCTCCACAGTGCTGGGCGCTACCGCCATGACACTGCCTGTCATTCAGCTCTGCTGGGGTTCCCTGGGGGCCTTCCTTCTTTTCCTTCAGCTACCATCCACTGTCCTGGCCCCTTGCTTGTGGCCTATGATTTCCCTCCAACTGTCACTCCAGGAGAGCAGCCGTCTCCTTGTGGGGGGCAGGGCCAGATGCTGGTTGTGGCAGCAGGTGAACAAGATGTGCTCCCAGCTTGGGGTCTCCTCTTGGCTTCGAATGGTGTCCTTGTTATCAATGAGCAGGTCCCCCAAGACCACCATCTTGTCCCTCCTCAGGATATTGCACTCCACAAACTGAGGCCCCAGTGGATTCTTCCCCCAGCGGTACTTCTTACCCACACGGTATTCATACTTCATCAGAGGGCTGGTACAGATGAAGACCTCAGTGTTCTGCATGTTGTTCATCTCCTGTATGGCTTCCAAGGCTCCAGGGATAAGCTCTAAGGCTAGGAAAAAGCCTTCGGCTTCATACACACCGGCCACTTTGTCTGCTGCGTCCCGCCACGGGTCTCAGTACTGCTCTCAGTCAAGGAAATCCAAGTTGTTATTTCCAGTGCCACATGTGGCTGGGAGGCCAGGGAGGCTGGGATGGGGGGCTGGGATAATTGTATAGAGAGCCACATGTTTGATGCTCCAGCCACATCCTCCTCTTTTGTCCACATTTTGCTTCTGGCAGCTACTGGGGTTTAAATTTCCAGGCAGAGCAAAACTATCCTTTAGTAGGAAAAAAGGCAAAGAATGGAGATGGTGTGGACTTAGAGAAGCAAGAGCAAAACAGATAAGGGTGGAGAGACAACAGGCAGCATTACCTTTTCAGAAAATGCTGTGGGAGCAAAGGGATAGACCAAAGATGGGAACCCAGAGGAGTAGACCCTGAGATGCACAGGTAATTCTTTATATTTTTAAATCATTTTCATGTCTATGATCTCATTTTGCATATCACAGCCACTCTGTGTATGCAGAGGACACATTTTTTTCTACTTTACTGATGAGAAAACTGAGGCATGAAAAGCTGTAGCAATTTACTCTAGGTCACAAAATTCTATTTTATTCCATGTTCAGGATAGATTATTTATATCACACAGCAAATTCAGAAATTGCTTTCCGGGTATTTTAAATTTTAAACCAGTGTCACGAATAGACTATTAGGAAGGAAAGATATTTTCCTTTATTTTATACTTGAACCATATGGCTATTTTAATATTTTTTTACTTAACCACAATTTCTCTAAATTTCATTGTTCATGTTGAAGCATTTGACTAAAATATAGCAAAACTACTGTGCCTTTCAAGGGGGTCAAAATGTTTTCTGTGGATGGAAACGTGTCATGTGAATAAAGATGAAAGCAGCTTTGTTGTACTCCTCTTCTGGGAATCTTTTTAGGGATATTACTAAAGTCAAGAATAGATCAGAAATGAAGAAAAGATGGGAATAAAAGAATAGCTTTCATGGAAAATTGAAATCATTCCTTTTAAAGTTCACAATTTCCACCCTGATGATAGATCCCCAGCCTTGCAGGATGGGTTCTTCCTAGATAGAAAGGTGACAGCTACGAGAGGATTTTGATGCAACTGTGATTGATGTCAGCAGGTCCAGACAGTGATACTTTATTACGAATTTAATGGACATTTATTAAGCTGATTCAATGGGAGCAGCCCTGGGCTAGATGGGGCTAGGACATACAAAAGGAAGATGCAATCTATGAAGGTTTCGGGGGCCAGTTAGGGATGGAAATTCCACTGATTTGAGTTGTTGCACCCTCATTCCATGCCAGGTGCTCTCAACATCATCATTTTGTGTCTGCCTCCCACAATCCCTGACTGAACAGCATGATTCTCCCTAAACCAAGGTGAGGGTACGTGGAGAGATTTGGTGACTTCCCCAGGGACGAGGCGGCTGCCCCAGGCCTTTTGTATCCAACTAAAAAGCTCTTGTCTCTCAGCCAGACAGGAAATAGCTAGAGAAAAACAGAGTCACAGCCTAAAGTTGGGACACGTGTCTAAGATGCAGAGTTTTGCTTTCAGCCATGATGCAAGAATTCAGAACAAGAGCCAGACCCTTGTGGGCCAGTGTTCTCACCTACGCTTCATAGAGAAGACAAAACATGAGCATTTCAGTGCTTCTTTAATAAGTGAAGTGGTTGTGGAAATATTTGCAAGGAGGAAACACCTTTTTAGTAGAGAAGTTTCCTTGGCTAGTTAACAGAACCTTTTCTTTCTTGGGTTAAATGTAGTCACTTCTCTTATATCCTGAAGCGTCTGGCTCCCCCAGTACAGACATGTGAGCACTGCCACGGGCCTGGAATGTCTCAAGAGGGTAAGAATAGCCCGCAATGAGAGATGACTCCTGCTGTCTTCTGGTCACTGCAGTTGTCAAGAACGCTTTGCCTCAGAGGCCAACAGCTCAGGGCCGTCTCTGCTCGGAGACAGAAAAACTGACCTCCCATTCCTGGGCTCACAGATTTCCCTTTATATGTGCAGCTCTCACCTTTACGTCTTTTGTAGCGAAGATACGTTTATTCCTGCAAAGATTTTCCACCTTCTTGGAGAACACAGGCTTCCGATGTCTCCAGCAGCCTTGAGTCTGTGACACTCGGGAGACATGGAACGTTTGGACCTGCTGGGATTCCTTCTCATCACTGTCAACTGCAACATGACCATTGTGGGTGAGTATAGGAAATAGCTCCAAAGCTCTTGCATTTTGTTTTCACCACTTTCCTTGGCCTCTTTGTTGCTGGAAGAAAGGGAGCTGTGTGCTCAAGCTTTCTTTTAATCGCTCCCCAGTTCCACCATCATTTAAGGAAGGCTTGGATTGAGTGTTCTCTCCTGGGGGCTGTTCTCACTGATGTTTAGGTGCTGAGCCTGAAGACTGAAGCCAGTGGAAGGAGTATCTTTGAGTAACTCTTCTCTGACTACCTGATCAGGAGAAGGAACAATACAGTAAAAATTAAAGAGAAATTTGTGCCTTGATTACACTTTCTTCTTGTTCATCTTTTTCCTTGAAGCTTAATTTGTAAGGATTAGTCATTTCTCTTGTGCAATTTAAGCCAAATCCAAATTTTAGTTTATTATTTTTTTTAAAAAGAAAGTAATAAATATTTCTGAGTTTGATGCAGACATGTCAAATTTTTAGAGAAGTATGGGTGTCCTAGAAAAAAGACTTGAGAAGGGGTACCTGGGTGGTTCAGTTGGTTGAGCATCTGCCTTCGGCTTGGGTCATGATCCCGGGATCCTGGGATCAAGTCCCGCACTGGGCTCCCCGCTCAGCGGAGAGTCTGCTTCTCCCTCTGCCTGCTGCTCCCCCTGCTTGTGCTCTCTCTTTCACTCTCTCTCTGTCAAAATAAATAAAATATTAAAAAAAAAAAAAGACTTGAGAAAAGGATTAAAATACGCCTATGAAGTGGTTGATATTTTTCTTATTCTTTTGTAGAATTTAAACAAAATCAACTTGGTCTTACAAGTTTGACTCAATGACTTGATCACATAATGCTATTCTTTGAGCTTAACTGCCTTCATTTATAATAGAGTTCTGTTTTTCTGATGTCAGGTGATGTTTTCTGTATCGTGTCACAAAACAAAATATTTGCAGATTATTTTAACTGAGTCTTAGACGTGTTCCAAAAGAGTTAACCTGTGATATGAAAATAGGACTTTGACGTTATTTTGATTTCCTAGGTTGGTCTCATTTATTATAAATTGAAGAAAGAGGAACCTCATTATTTCATAATAACTGTAATAGAGGAAAAGGAATTCCAAATCATTGAAAAATCTGGAAAAGTTGAATGTCATTAAGGAAATTTGATTTCAAGGACCATAAAGCAACAATTAAATAAAGATCTTATGGACCAAAATAAAGATGACTGAACTATAATTAGCAGCTTGTATTTGCTACACAGAGTTACACAAATGTGCTAACATTCTTTAGAAAGCTTATTATCTGCAGAGAGTAAGGTCTTATTTGCATCATTAATTTCCTCAGCTCAACTTTCTTTCTAGAACTTTCAGTCCAGGAGACATTACCAAGAGTCTGAACTAGTGGAGTCAGATCAAACATCTTTAGTCTCTAAGGCTTCTTTAAAATCTGTCAGTTGCAAAGCATTTTGCAAACAACTAGAACAGCACAGTGTCTGACACATTGTACGGCTTCCTTAAATACTTGGCAGATGAGCTAACTAGCCGCCGCTGCTTCGGGGACTGAAATGCATGCTTAGTGACTTCGCAGTTCTCCAGTCTCACCCCTGAAAATACTTAAAAACTACTGTCGGACGGGCATATGTTTGTATGCTGGTGATGGTGCCCTTCCTGCTTCCTCCTTTCTAGGGAAGATCTGGCTTATCTTCATGATACTGCTGAGGATGGTGGTGATCATCTTGGCAGGCTCCCCCGTCTACCAGGACGAGCAGGAGAGGTTTGTGTGTAACACTCTGCAGCCAGGATGCGCCAATGTCTGCTACGACATCTTCTCCCCGGTGTCCCACCTGCGGTTCTGGCTGATCCAGAGCGTGTCTGTTCTCCTCCCTTCTGCCGTTTTCAGCGTCTACGTGCTCCACAGAGGGGCCGTGCTCGCCGCCCGTGGACTCTCCGGGCCAGACGGCGGTCCCACCCGTCCTGACCCCTGTGACCAGAGCCCTGGGGACAGGCGCCGCCCTCCGCCCTGCAGGGAGCCGCGCCACCTGACCGTGCCGGACTTTTCCTCGGGCTACATCGTCCACCTCCTTCTTCGGATGCTGACCGAGGCAGCTTTTGGTGCCTCGCATTACCTCCTCTTTGGATTCTTGGTCCCCAAGAGATTCTCTTGCACCCAATCTCCCTGCACCAGCGTGGTGGACTGTTACGTCTCCCGGCCCACGGAGAAGTCCATTATGATGCTTTTCATGTGGGCGGTCAGTGCGCTCTCCCTGCTGCTCAGTGTGGCTGACCTCATCTGCAGCGTGCAGGGGAGGACGAGCGGGGGCTGGGGCCCCGCCGAGGATCCCCCGGGCCCCGCCGCCGGCCGCCGGCTCTCCCGGAGCCTGGGCGCTAGGCCGGGTCAGATGGCCCGCGACGGTGGGGGGGGTGGGGGAGGGGGCGCCCATCCACCCCGGCCTGTGGAATGGAGGGGTGGGTGCCGACAGCCCCAGCGGTAAGTCCGCTGTATCAGGGCGGATGGGGCTTCCCGATGAAGATGAGAGCGAGGTGATGTCCTCTGCCAGCGAGAAGCTGGCCACGACTTGCAAGGAGCCTGGGAGTAGGCCGCGCGGAGAGGCCTCCCAGGACCCCAGGGGCGAGGGTCCCACAAGATCAGAGGAGCATCCCTCATCGCCTCGGAGCCGGCTGGGCCGGCGCTATCCATCCTGTCAGCGACAGCCCCTCGACGGGCTCGCCAACTCCAGATCCAGAAAGTCTGAGTGGGTCTGAAGAGGGAATGCCGGGCAGCCCCCGGGCGCACCGTCCTCTCCAAATGGAGACGTGGCCCACGAAGACGCAGACTCACTTTGGCCCGTGTGAAAGTTTACCCACTAGGTTCCCGGAGAACATCAACAGGCAGAAAGGCGAGCTGCCATGGGACACATGGACTTCGTGGAAGACTAATTATCCTCGAGATACAGATTTAATTTAGATAATTTCTCTTGACAAAAGCACTTGACATTGTGCTTTTGACAATGTGACTGGAAGCTAAAATGATTAATTGGAGAGTGTCAGGTGACAGATGATGCTACACTCTGTTTTTTTGGTTTGTTTGTTTGTTTGTTTGTTTGTTTTTACCGTAGTATGTGCTTAATTAAAGCATATTGTCTTACGTTAATAGAGCTCATTCATGTTATAATGTTTTCTGGTGAGTTATTTGAAGTTTTTGGGTGGTTTTTTTTTTTTTTTTGGTTTTGGTTTGTTTTTCTGTTTGGATAAAAGAGGCATCTGATATGCATGTTATCAATAGAGAGACATTAATTTAACTTCTCCTGATGACTTTAATAAAATTAATCGTGATGGAATTGTAATATCACCCCTCAGTGTTATGGGAGAAATGACAAATGCAGAAAATATGGCTCCTAAGCACTTGGGGATTTGGGTGGAGGCCTCTTAGATTGTTTCTGCTTGTGAGTATAGGTGCCCAGGATGAGAGGGATCCCCGGCGTGGGTGCTGTTCCTGTGTGTTTTCTGAGTGGCTGTCCTCACTGACTTGAGGGAGCACATTTTTGTTTGTTTTATTTTTAATCCTTAATTGAAGTGTCGTTGACAGAGAAGAGGCATCTGTGGATGAGTGGAGGCAGAGTTGTTACATGTTCTCTAGTCTGGGTTTTGTCCTTTAGAGAGCTGTACAGTTCAGGTTTCCCTGTTCAGTGGAGCAGATGAGAAATGATGCTGGTGTCCTGGCCTCGCAGTCCGTGTTCATGCTTTTTGGCTGTAAACGAGAAACAGAAAACATCCTCATGTCTAGAGATGAGCTTCATATAAGCATTCTCTGCACTTCTCAGTTGCTCTGGTTTGGGTCTAGGAGCTGCCCAAGTCAGAGGTGACTTGGTGAGAGATTTAGGGTTGCCTTTAAATGCCACATAGATGGACACAGAGTAGCAGAAAGAGCTACTATGGGGCAGGATAAACCTGCTTATCTTATCAAGAGAGGAGAAATAGCCATCTGGGTGTACTTCCAGAATTGATGAATAGCCTTTGGTCTCCAAACACAAAATGGCTAAGGACAAGGAATTGCCCTTCACTCCAGCAAATAATAAAAAAAGTGCACTGATGCATTCATGAAACCAATGGCCACTTTTAATTGTTCTAAAGAAGGCTTTGACAATGAAACATCTGCCAGGATGGAGAATAACATCCTGCTTGATAAATCTACGGGATATCAAAACAATTGGTTAAAACTTAAATCGTCCAAAATTGGTTCTGGCATAAAAATATTTGAATGAATATGGCTATTTTTAACATATGCAGTAAATCTCTCTTGCTCCTCCATTCATTGGAAACAGTGAGCCATGACTCAGACCCCTTTCTTCAATACTTAGATCAATGTCTGGCACATAGCAAGTGCTCAGTAAATGTGATTTTTTGAGTCTAATATTCCTAAAGCATTTGAGGGAAAATTTGGTTCTTGTCCCTTCTAGCATGCTGGTGGACCGCCCAAGGTTGGGTCTAGTCTTAGAGATATAAGAATTGTCTAGCGCTTCATTACTATTTAAAAATAAGTTCCACGGGTCTCTCAAGCCCCCAGTATTAGCCTTGATAATATTGAGTGACAAAATCAACTCAACACATGTGGTGGCCTGTGTCCATGCAGGATGTCTGGTCAACAGCTGGGAAAGCAAGGTGGCAAGGGCTGCGCTGGGGTTTCCTCTTGGCCGTGTCCCCAGAGAGAACTGGGCAGAGTGTGTCTGTATTCCTTCTCCCGCTGGAGTCTATGCTCAAGTTTGGGTTTGCAGGCAAGTGTGATTTTATTTGGGTGGCACTGGGAAAGGCTGCTTTTGCCTCTCTACTGATATCCAAAGTCCCACTATCAGAGAACCAGAGCCTTGAGGTTTCATGGAAAACTGTAAATACTATTGAGAACAATGGGTGCCAAGAGAGAAGAGGAGAGGTAAGGAGCCAAGGGAAGGACATCTGTGTTCTCATCCCATGTCCCCATTACTGGGCAGGCCACTTCATCCCTCTGGGCCTCAGTTTCCTTCTCTGAGTGAAGAGGAACCTAGACTAGATGATTCCTTAGTGCTCTACAAATTTAGAAATTTGCCAAAGCTGTGTGCCATGTAGAGCTGTCATTTTAACATTAATGAGGGTTAATGCATTAGACCTTTCCGTTGCTAACTGCCTAAGCACAGGTTTTGATAAGATGAAAATGATGGTAAGAACAGGACAGGACGAGTCTCAGAGGAGGGGAAGCTAAGCAAGGACATTAGCTCAGGTCCTTAGATATACTGGGGCTGGAGAGAAAAAAAAAGGAGATGACAAGTCTGAAGAGAACTGACTGAATTGGGCCTAGAACCCAAATCTCTTGCACTTTGGGACTGTCCTCTTAATTGCGATCATTTTATTTTATTTTTTTAAATTTTATTTTATTATGTTATATTAGTCACCAATTTGCGGTCATTTTAAATAAGAAAGGATCTTAGGGGCTCCTGGGTGGCTCAGTCGAGGTTAAGCGCCTGCCTTCCATTCGGGTCATGATCCCAGAGTCCTGGGATCGAGCCCCACGTTGGGCTCCCTCCTCCGCGGGGAGCTTGCTTCTCCCTCTCCCACCCCCCTGCTTGTGCTCTCTCTCGCTATCTCTGTCACTATCTGTCTCTCTCTCTCTCAAATAAATAAAATCTTTTGAAAAAAAATTTAAAAAAAGAAAGGATCTTAGTTTGTTTGAGTGTCTGCCCGTGTGCCTTGTTGTAGTGGAGTTCTTTTGTGTTTGCACAGGAAGAAGGGCTCATTAGATACTGTCAAACTTTCCAGGAACTTTAATGCAGAAATCTTGACCTGCTAGTGTCCAGGTGATTCTCAGGTGGTCCAGCAGTGACGGGCGACCACTAGTGGAATCCAAACTCTGAATCCACATGTACTGCAGCTGGCTGGCTGCCGAGAGAAACACGAAAGAAAGCTCATGAGGATCAATGAGGTTATGCTTGTGCTTAGTCAAGAAAAGTATTATTTACAGAATTAATAAATGTGCCTCCCTTTTTCTAGCATGTTGCAATCTACTATAAGAACCTATTACGAATTTTTTTTTTTAAGGTTTTATTTATTTATTTGACAGAGAGAGACACAGCGAGAGAGGGAACACAAGCAGGGGGAGTGGGAGAGGGAGAAACAGGCTTCCCACTGAGCAGGGAGCCCGATGTGGGGCTTGATCCCAGGACCCTGGGATCATGACCTGAGCTGAAGGCAGACACTTAATGAGCCACCCAGGTGCCCCCTATTACGAATTTTCTGAGTGTAAATTTGGTTTCAGGCAAGAAATGAGGAGGAGGGTGGTGTTTTGCAGATGGAGAGAGGGGGCATCTAGGCTTCTGAGGCACAGACTTGCCGAAGGTCTCCTACAAAGGAGACGCCGCCCCCGCCCCCCCAACCTGAGAGCATTTCCGGGGCAGGGGCAGCTGCGGATCCAGCTGCATTTTGGTTGTGCTGTAGGGTAAATGCTTCCTAGAAACCAAACAGATGTCTCCCCACCGACCATTGGAAATATATGTATATATATTTTTCCTTTCTCCTGTCAATCACAGAACAAATCTTTTCCTTGGGAACTTTCTCTCTGTGTTGTGACCTCAGAGAGTGAGTGGCAGACAATAGAGCCGAAAGAAGTGACTAAATTTTCTCATAAACTGAACTTGGATGAAATGAGTTTCATGGAGAATTCAGGAAATTAAAAGTCAAATGCAAAAACTAGATGTATTAAGAAGAGTTTCCTCCCTCCCCAGACAGGCAGGGTAGAGACATGACATGTTTAAAATACTGAGTGATTATGAAGAGTGTGCCTGCCTGGCCATGATGTTGATTGGCCATTCATTTCCTTGGCCATCTCAAAGCTGAAAGACTCCCCAGGCTGTCACCTGTGTGTCACTGGTTCCGTTCTTCTCCCTCCTGGTGGTGCTTCTTGTTCCTCACACAGCCCCTGTGACTGTTTTATCAACAGACTGAGACATCAGATTTCACACCAATGGAGCTACATTGATAAACCAGTATTTACTGAGTATTGCCTCTGTACCAGGGATTAAATCTCTTGCTTCTGTTTCTTTCTATGAAGCTAAAAAAACCTCATCATGTGACAGGTCAGCAAATTGGTGGGTTCTAGCAAAATGTCATTGTTTCAGTACCACTGTTCAAACAACTCCAATTCCTGTCACCTTTCATTTTCTCAGTGCTGAACTGGGCACTAGAAGGACTATGTTATGTTGTGGGCTTTGTTGGGAAGCTCAGATGAGAGGGAGTGGGTGTGGGACCCCCCTGAGACAGACTTGTGTGTCACAGGAAGGTGTTCCCTGGGCTGTAAACTGGTCCATGCTTGACAGATCACACTAAACAGGTCTCTCCAGGAATCTGTGATATTTGCATGAGGAGAAAGATGTCCACAGACATAGGGATGCTCCCAACCTTCTTCCCACAGCCTTTCTTACCAACAGAAGCCTCTCTTATTTATGAACACAAAAATGTTGATTTATTTCTGGTGGTACATCTTGACCATTTCCATGCTTCTCTATATTTGCTTCTAGCTGCCCAGAAAAAGCAGGATTTGGGAACTCGCAGCAGCAGACCTGGGAATTGTATTAAGTTACTTTGGATAACAGAGGGGGTGAGAAATTAGGGATAATGAAGAAATTGTGGACAATCTGGCCTCATGGGAAGAAGATAATTTAAAAAGACAATGAGTCTTGGGTTAAGATTCAGTCCCTTATTTCTAATGAAAGTTCTTTATTTTGCTCACAAGTGTCAGATTGTCCTTTACCCCGGCTTTTCACCTGATCAGGCTGGCAACTGCAAAGGTTTAGCTTGAGATGTAGATTCATAATAAAAGATGACAGCCGAGACAGACAATGGGGGAACTGGGTAAATATTGCAAACCCTATGGTGTGACCACTCAGGAAGGTGTGTGGTGGGTGCCAACAGAACGCAAATATTCTTTTGTCACATAAGATTCCTCAGCTGTGTACTAAACAGCTACAAAAAATTCCTTCTGGTTTTAAGTTGTCAAATAAGGAATCTGCAAAGGTGCATGAGGTTTTTCCCCTTGGTTTATGAAATGATGTGTTATTTTATGTGTAAGAATTTCTTTTTCTCCTTTTCTTGTGCTTAGAAAGTTGAAGTGCTTTTGATCTCAGAAATAGTATTTGAGAAGCAATTTAAATGTCCGTAAATTTGTCTTCCTCACCTGGGGTATTTGATCCGAATAAAGCCTAAGAC